CAGCCTTAGACAAAATGTAAATGAAGGAGCATGGTGGTGTTCCACTAACACTTTGTTTATAAACACAGAAATTTGAATTTCATATCATTTTCACATGTCTTGTATGTTTGTGCTTTTTTCTCAAATGGGATTTATTCTTACTTTGATTTTTTACCCCCAACCATTGAAAAAGGTTGGTTTTCAGATCAGGCAAAAAAAGGTGACAGGCTGGATGTGGCATGCAGGCCATAGTTTGCTGACCCTGTGTTTGAAAAGAGATCCCTAGTGATCAGTGGTTTAAGTGCTGGACTGCTAACCAAAAGGTTGGTGGTTCCATGGGAGGAAGATGAGAAATCTACTCATCGAACATTCTATGAGGCATTTCTGTAATGGTTGGAAAAAAAATGTTCCTTTAAGTTGAAATTGACTGATGATATTGGTATAAACACATTTGTTCACTAAATTTAATATTCTCAAAGTAAGTGAAGCCATGCTACAATAATTCATGCAAAACCACGTCCGACCCACAGAGAATACTCCCAGCAGAGCCTGAAGAAGACATTCTGTTAGATGTACCGGCTCCATATGCCAGATGCTGACCTGGGTTCCTGAGACCCAGGCCTGGCCTTTCTGTCTGTCCTATCTTACATTGTTTTTTAGAACAAGATCACAAGAGGAGGATTACAGAAATCCACTATTTCAGTCTCTCAACTAGTGCCCCATTATACCCCCATGTAGCATTGTTGGTGGTGATGGTGTTAGGTGTCTTACGGTCGGTACCGACTTGCAGCAACCCTTTGCACAACAGAATGAAACTCTGCTCAGTCCTCCTGCTCCGTCTTCACAATTGTCATTCCGTGTGAACCAATTGTTGGAATTCTGTGATTTCCACACGCCATTGGGTCATAAATATAGATCTCTTCCAATCAGTTGGCCAAGTGGCTGTCTTCCAAATTTCTTGGTATAGATGAGTGAACACCTCCAGTGCTGCATCAATTTGTTAAAAGATTTCAATTTGTATTCCGTCAATTCCTGAAGCCTTGTGTTTTGCCAATACCTTCAGTGTAGCTTGAACTTCTTCCTCTCGAAATGATTGAACATGGGTTTTCCTTCCATCTTTTTTTAGTGCTTCCAGTGGTGTTCAATATTTTTCCCATAGACGCTTGCAACATTGCAAGTTGAGACTTGAATTTTACCTTCAGTTCTTTCAGCTTGAGAAATGCTGAGCATGTTCTTCCCCATTGGTTTTATAACTCCAGGTCCTTGCACATCTTATTATAATGTTTGATTTTTGTCTGCTCAAGCTGCCTTCTGAAATTTTCTGTTCAACTTTTTTATTTCATCATTCTTTCCAGTAGCGTTAGCTTCTCTGCATTGAAAAACAGGTTTCAGAGTCTCTTCTGACATCAGTTGTGGCCTTTCCTTTCTTCCAAGAATTTTAAAGACATTTTGCTTTCTTCGTAATTCTTTTCAGTCATTAGTGTCTAATGTATCATATTTGTTATTGATATGGTCTCTAAATTCAGGTGGGACACACCCAAGGTCATATTTTAGCTTGCTTGGAATTGTGTTAATTTTATTCAACTGTAGCCTGAACTTGTATGTAAGCAAATCAGACCATGGCTATTTTTTTTTGACTGAGACTATTGTATTTCTTGATCATCTCTTCCCACAGATGTAGCCAATTTGATTCTTGTGTATATTATCTGTAAGGTCCATGTGCATAGTCACTGTTGATGTTGTTGAAAACAGGTTTGTAAGAATAAGTCTTTGGTCTTGCAAAATTCTATCATGCAATCTCCAGGGTCATTTTTATTAGACAATGTTGGCATCACAATTCTATCATGCGATTTCCTGTATCATTTTTATCACTAAGGCCAATTATGAATCCTTCCTATTTGTTTCCAAATTTTGCATTCCAATTACCAATAATTATCAATGCAGCTTGATGGCATGTCTGATCAATTTCAGGCGGAAGACTTAGGTAGAATTCTTCATATTCTTCATCTTTAACTTTAATAATTAGTGTATATTTTTTTTAAATAATGGAGTCCTGGTGTGGCACTGTGGGCTAATGCACTGGACTTCAAAGTTTGAACCACAAGGCTGGTGGTTCAAGCTCACCAGCTGCCCCTCAGAAGCCCTATACAGGGTTGCTATGGGTTGGAATTAACTTGACGGCACTTAACAACAACATTTTTAATAATAGTTGTATTAAAATTTGGCTTTCTTTGTAACAGTATGGATATTATCCTATAGCAGACAGGATAGTACTTCAAGATAGATTTTGAAATGCTCTTTTTGATGATGATGGCATTACCAATTCTCTTCAATGTGTTGTTCCCAACATAGTAAGTCATATAACTATCCTATTCACAATGGCCTTGTCAGTCCCTTTCAGCTCACCAGTGCCAAGCAAATGGCTCTTTATGTGCTCCATATCATTTTTAATGATTTTCAGCTTTCCTAGACTCACACTTCATACATTTCATGTTCAATTATTAATGGATGTTTGCAGCTAGTTTCTCTGGTTAAGCCCCGTAGGCAATGAAGGTCCTGAATACTTCCAGCCACATCTTTAAGGTCAACTGTTCTTTGAGGAGGGAGCTCTTCCCCAATTGTATTATGAGTGTCTTTCCATCTAAGGGGCTCTTATTCCGGCACCATCTCACCCAATGTTTCATTGTTATTCACAAGGTTTTCAGTGGTTAACCATTCAGAAATGGTCTGCATCTCCTCCTTCCTTGTCTGTCCTAGTCTGTAAGCTCTGCTGAAGCCTGTCCACCGTGGGTGACCCTGCTGGCATTTAAAATATTGATGGAATAACTTTCAGTGTCACAGCAACACAAAACCAACACCATAGCCAAGTGGCGAACATGCAGTGGGCATTAGTACATAAGACACAGAAAGTAAAATCAGAAATGTCTGTTTTAGTGAACATCTATAGGTAGTGTCTTCGAAAAATAAAATCTGACCACTCACTATGACTTTTCCATCAGTGAGAATCAACAAGAAATCTGCCCACTAGTGAACTCTCACATCAGGCACTTTCTTTAGGGAGACATGGAGCTAAGCAGCCCTTTTTTCCCGGCCTCTTCTCTCCCAGAGAACCCATGGCATCCTTTTCTCTCACCAGCTGATTGCAGGCCAGCCCTTTGGAAGCATTGCCAGCAAGACCATCCCCAAGGAACATATTGCATCTGCTCAAGACCTGGACACCATCTGGTCCCTGGGGGTGAGCTTGGTGCTTGGCCACGCTCTTGTCTTGATGTCTTGAGGGAGGCGGTAAATGGGCGATGGTTCTGGCATCTGGGAAACAGAAATGACACCAAATCTTCTCTTTGTAGGGCTACCTCCAGTACTCTGTCCTCTTCTATGGCTACTATGGCAGGGAGAGGAAGATCGGGAGAGCGGGCTACCGGCTGCCCTTGGCGTATTTCCTGGTGGGGATGGCAGTGTTTGCTTATAGCTTCATAATTCTTTTAAAAAAGTAAGACTGCTCAATTTCTTAAAATATATGCCAAATTGCAATGTGTGTGATCTCATTTAATTTTGTCAACACCACTGTGGAGTTAAGGCATAACTGTACCCATTTTTCAGATGAGGAAACCAAGACTAGAAGAGGTACGTTCATTTTAACCAGCACTGATTGAACACTTACTATTTTGAGTCATGTTTTATACTGGGTTTAGACAAACAAGAATCGTATACACTAACTAATTAACTGATGTTTAGACAATACAGTGAGTGTACTAATAGAGATATAAATAATAGTATCTAGATGACCGGAAGTTGCAGAAAGCAAAGCAGCCTCCTTTGGCTCTATATTTATCTGTGATCTAGCGACAGAGTCTGAAAAGGCCAAACCTGTGTGTGTTGTGACGCAGTTGATATATCCGCTTCATCGCTGAAAGGTAGTACAATGCCAAAGTAAAATAAAACAAACAAAAACGAAGTGGCTGGTTGGTAGCAAGTCTGCAACACCTGCACTGTGAGATGTTTGGCAACTCAGGTCTCCAGCTTCCCTCCCAGCTTTCGTATTCTGTCTTCGTGCGTAACCAGTGCCATCAAGCTCATCAAGTTGACTCCAACTCATGGCAACCCCATGTGTGTCAGAGGAGAACTGTCTCCATGGGGTTTTCAGTGACTGATTCTGGGCAGTAGATCACCAGGCCGTTCTTCTGAGGTACCTCTAGGTGAACTCAAACTTCCAACCTTTCAGTTGGCATCAGAGTAGAATATGAACCAAGGCCTCCAAATCACCATGCAACAATTCGGTATTTTTGAAATCCCAAGTACTCTGCCTGTACTTGGCTAAATACTACAAGGGGCAAGGTGATGAAGACGTATAAATGGGAGGAACAAGTTAGAAAGAAGTAACAGATGTAAGGTGGTGGGGACCAGGTTTTCCCTCGGACTAAACTTCTCTCTCAGTCTGCATTTATCCAGCTCCTACACACATCTAGCACGCAAGTTCCTGAATGGTGCAAATAGCTAATGTGCTCTAATGCTAACTGAAAGGTTGGGAGTTTGAGTTCATCTCAGAAGAAAGACCTGGTGATTTATTCCCCCAGAATCAGTCACTGAAAACCCCATGGGGCACAGTTCTTCTCTGACACACACAGGTTGCCAGGAATTGGAGTCAACTTGATGACTTTGCTGGCAACTGGTTACACAGGAAGACACAATACTAAAGCTGGGAAGGAACCCAGAGCTTCAAAAAGTTCGTGGAAAATGGAATCGAAAACTAATGTAATGTTTCCATAAACTTTTTGAAACTCCTTCATACGAAAACATTGGCAAATGGGAGCAAACAAACTCAAGAGCAAGAAATAAGGATAAGGAAGAAAGTGAAAACCTTATAATGGGGGATATTGTCTAAGGGAGAGGGGGAGTTTCACCGGAGGAAGGATGAAAGTCCAACTTTCAGATATCTAAGAAATGCTATGTTTAGGAAGGACTTGGCATGCTCTGTATGGTTCCAAAGGGTAGAGCCAGAGCTCCAAAGCAGATTGAGTCAGCTGCAAGGACAGAATGGTATCTCAAATTTCTCTTTGCACAAAGATGGACCATGCTGGCTCCAGAGACACACACACGTCCAGTGACCTGCTGGCTACCAAGGAGTGGGACTGGCTGCCAAATGGATTTACACAATCAGTGGTGGTTGCATTTTTGGTTTTGTTCAATGGGATTGCCTAGCAGACAATAAAGGTTAGGATGCAGTCAACGTCCTGCTTGCTAAGCATTGACCAGAGGAGCTGCATCCACCCAGAAGGGCCACCTTAGTCCAATTCACACAATCTGCAAGGGCTACCAGCAGCCTTATGTAGCAAAGTTAATTCCTGACCCTGCTCTTTTATGACTCATTTTGGGTCCCCTTTTGCAGGATGGCGAAGAACTCCCGAACAAGCCTTGCCAGTGCTTCCAATGAAAACTACACTTTCTGCTGGCGGGTGTTTTGTGCCTGGGACTACCTCATTGGAAACCCAGAGGCTGCAGAGAGCAAAACAGCAGCCGTGGTGAACAGCATCAGGGTGAGTGAGCATGCCCGGTCCAGGCTGCCTGGGGAGCAGGCATGCAGTCGGAGCCTTTCAGTGAGCTGTGCCCCTCTGTCTAGTGAACTAGAGAGCTAGACGGATACGAGAGAAAGAGAAATGAGGGAGAGAGAAGAGAGTCATGAAGGAGAGGTAGCTCGATGAGAGACAGACAAATGTGATAGGAAGAAAGAGATGATGGATAGATAGATGATAAATAAGATAAACAAATGGTAGGTAAATAGATAGAAAGATAGATAGATAGATAGATAGATAGATAGATAGATAGATAGATAGATAGATAGATAATTGATAGATGGATGATAGATATGATAGACAGATGATAGATAGAGAGATAAACGATAGATGATAGACAAATAGATTGATAGATTGATAGATAGATAGATGATAGCTAGATAGATAGATAGACAGACAGACATATGCATGCACATAGACATGTAGTTCAAGGAAGAGATCCCCCAAATGAACTGAACCTGCTTCGGGAACTTTACCAAATGATCCAATAGAGTCCAGGAAGAAAACTATTAGAACTCCTCTTTATTTTTGTTTATTTTATTCATGCAATATTTTAGTTTTTGTACTTTTAATAGTTTGTATAATGGTGATTAATGTCTGTATCTACCTGGTAAATGAGTGAATACAGTTATGTTGGGGATATAAACTTTTCTGTTTTAACTGAGACTATGATGGTATCAACAGCACCCAGAGTCCTGGGCCTAGTAACAGACAGCTAAGTGGTGGCCGATTTTGAGAATAAAAGGTACAGTCTGGGTATCTAAATAAGTTATTTATTTTACACAAAAGTCTGCCATTCTGTCACCTGGCTTTCAAATACTAAGCATATCCATACAGGCAAACAGAAAGACCTTGAGTGCTGATAGGCCCATCCCTACCTCATGGCCCTCCAAAGCTGTAAAAGGCAGAGCATGGAACCCAAAAAGCATACAAGCTAATAATGCTTTTTGCAGCAGAGAAGCATTTCTGTTCCCATGTGAGGTCACCGAGAAATGAGCAGTGTCCCCAAAGGAAACTGAGTCACAGAAAATGCCGAATTCCTACCTGTGTCAGAAAGCAGGGAAGCTTATAATATATTTCAGAAAGATTTTCAATGAAATTTTTAAAAAGAAAATTCTTTTCACTACATCGGACACCTGGGAAGCGATAGTATAGACTTTCAGAAAGCAGCTCTCCTTTTTAAGGGGTGGTTCTGGCCCAACTGCATGTGCTTAGTAGCATAAACCCAGAGGGAGCGAAGGGATTCTCTTGGCCAGGACTGTGTTCCCACCCACCTTCATGGCATTAGGATCTTCTGTGGATCTCAAAAGTGGAGTTTCTCTTGGCTCCAAAAGCCCCTCAACACCATTGATGCCCCCGGAGCCCAAATCCATTCAGTCTGTACTGATACACAGTCTCCCAGGGTCTCTTTCTTAGAGGCACAACAAACTATTTGTCACTTTCCCTAGTCATCAGGAAACCAGGTTATAGGATTGTCATTGTCCTGTCGTGTTCACTCCATCATACCTTGAGAGACACAAACCTAAACTGGGAGCTCCCTCTAGGAAGCATTCTGGGTTCACCTTATCAATCTTCTGATGCACCCTCTTCAAGACTTTCACATACAGCAGGGGTGACATTAAGCCACTCCAGCCCACCCCACTGGGTCTACAGCTCTTTGTGTCTGTGCATGCCTCCAAGCCCCAGCAAAGAAAGGACCACCAGGGTAAACCCTTTACTAGATCAATCATTGCTGACCAGCTCCCTTAACCCTGAGCTACCCAGCTGACTCTCTCCTGCCCCTGACAGTCAGGACTGCGTCCAAAGACCCTGCTTCTATGTTGTATCATGTTGCTTGTTTCGCTAGTTTATTTCCTCTTCCCTTAAAAATTGTCATTGTTGTTGTTATGTGCCGTGGAGTCGGTTCCGACTCATAGCGACCCTGTACATGGTTTCCGAGGCTGTAAATCTTTATGGGAGCAGAACGCCTCATCTTTCTCCCGCGGAACAGCTGGTAGTTTCGAACTGCTGACGTTGCGGTTCACAGCCCAATTCGTAACCACTACACTAGCAGAGCTTCTTAAAAATAACCACTGCTAAATTTCTTGAATAAGTCAAAATCGAAACATTTCAAGATTCCAAGGTGACAATTTTCTCTCCCACCTAATATTCCAGTTGGCCAATTCCTCTTCCAAGTAAACAGTTACCAGGTTCTTTGTGATTCCCTCCAGAAATAACCTATGTAAATGTATTCAAATTTTACCCAGATTACTGTGTACACTGTATATATAAATGTTCCATGTTGTTGTTGCTAAATGCCATCTAATCTAGTCTGACTCATAGCGACCCTGTATAGGGTTTCCGAAGTGTGGCTGGTGAATTTGAACCGCTGACCTTGCAGTTCAAACCGTGCAAGTCTAGAGCATTAACCCACAGCACTATACCAGGACTCCATGTCCTATATACATTGCTATATAGGACATCATGAAAATCCTTCAATTTCATTCCAGCCATAAAAAGTAAACTTATTCTTTTTAGCTGTGGAGTTTGTAATATACTCAGAAAGATCTTCTTCTCCTGGATGCTAAGTCAAATGTTTCAATTTAGCTTTCTCTATCCATTGGGAGGCGGGGGTGGGGAGGTGGGGAGGTGGATAGGGTGTGTGTGGGGGGGTGGAATTCTGACTGGCCCCCCAGGCCATGTCCGTTCCTTCTTTCCAATCTCCAATTTTTTTCCTGTTGATTATTAGCTAAGGCATTGATTTATAGGCTGAAACCTTAGACATTGAACAGAGGATTAGGAATACTGTATAAATAATTTCTAACTTCTAGTGGATCTAATTGTTTCTAATGATTTGCAGCTAATGATGCTGTTGATCTCTTAATATCATGAATGTCTTCTCTTCTAGGAGGCTATACTGGAAGAACACGAAAAGAAGAAAAGCAAAAATCTGTATGTATGAATGTTCCCCAGGCTGCGCTCATTTTGAATGACTTTGTTTCTACTTGATGCAAAAATTACCAGATGCTTCAGATCTTCTTTCCAAACCTTTTCAGGCAGCTCTTTTTCCTTCTTAATATCCATGTTTGTAGTAGCACACCAGCTGAGAGCTCTGTAATGTTTCCTTAGCAGGATTTCTGAGTGGTTTCTCTTCCCACTGATTTCTGCAACAAGGGTGAGAGCTCTGACATTAATCAGTTTCCTATTTTTTCCTTAGCATTAAAAGAAGTATTTGTAGCACCATCTTCTAGCTTAATAAAATAAGATTATGTGGATGCTCTTAGAACAAGTCTCTGGAGTCGTAAACCACAGTACTACCCAATCCCATTTGGAAGAATTTCACCATGATTTCATAGGTTTGATGTTCTTCTCCAGGTTTTGACTCCTACCCTGGTAAGAGTGAGACCCTTCAACTACAGAACTGGTGAAATATAAAGGGCATTCCCAGAAAGAGACAATGGCCCCTGTCCTCCCGTGGACAGACTTCGCCGTCCATCTGATATCCTTGCTGGCAGGTGTTCCTCACAATTACTTTAAATAAGGTAGAAAGGTTATGCGGAGAAGATTATAGCAAAGGATATGGGGACTGAGGAGACAGGAAGTAGGCATCTTGATGGAAAGAGCTCTCATAGGAAGTTAGAGGAGCTGGGTCCTAGCCCTCCCTTCATCACTACTGTGCATGATCTCAGGAGCCCTGGTAGTGTAGTGGGATAAGCATTTGGCTTATAACCACAAAGGTCAATGGTTCAAACCCACCAGCTGGTTTGAGGGAGAAATATGAGCCTGCCTGCTCCTGTAAAGATTCATAGTCTCAGAAACCCTAAAGAGCAAATCTACTTTGTCTTCATAAGATCATTATGAATTGGATTGTCTTGGTGGCCTGGAAGATTCACCTGGCCTTCTCAGCCTGCATCTTCTTACCCGTGAAATGAAAGAGTGGGACTCCATCTGTGCTCCTCAGAGTGTGCTCAGCACCCTCTCACACTGGAATCATCTGCAGATCCTGAGGAAATGTATATACCTTTGACTGAAAACCACCTTTATTGAATTGAAAGTTCTGCTGTGGGGTCCAAGAATGCACATTTTTACAAATCTCAACCAAGTGATTTTGTGCATTTTTTTAAGTTCCTCAAGTTTGAAAACTGAAACCAGACTCAATCCATTCCAGTTCAAAGACTTCTAATGAAAACCAACAAATGAACCACAAAACACCTTTTTCCATCTCATTCCCCAAACAGATCCTGAATCTTCCTCCAGTGTATTAAAATCTAAGGATTATTAATTTATGGGAGATAGTCTTGGATATCCAGAATCTTAGAATGGGATTCAATAGGAAGAGGGTATAAAAAGAGGGAAACTAGCATTTGGTTGCCCATCTATCTCATAAAGTGTCAAAAAGCAAAGCTGTTAACTTTGAGGACTAATGTGTGCCAGACACAGTCATGGTATTTTCAATCACCTCACATGCGTGTGTAAGCCGGATAATGAATAAAGAAGACCAAAGAGAATGAGTGCCTTTGAGTTTTATGGTCTTGGTGAAGAATATTAAATATGCTTTGGACTGCCTGAAAAATGAACAAATCCATGCTGGAAGAAGTACAGCCAGAATGCTCTTCAGAAGTCAGGATGGTGAGGCTTCATTGTTTATGTTACTAGTTGGCTATGTTACTAGAAGGGATCCATTCCTGGAGATGAACATCATGCTTGCTAAAGTAAAATTCAGTGAAAACAAGAAAGACCTTCAGCAAGAAGGAATGGCACAATGGCTACAATGGGCTCAAACATAGGATGGTGCAAGTTTGGGCGGTGTTCTGTGCTGTTGTCCACATGGTTGATAAGTACACAAACTCAATAACAACTTCACTCCAGGACCATCATGTGCATGTTCTGACGTAATCACTGTAAGGGCTGTCTTAGTTATCTGGTGCTGCTAGAACAGAAATGCCACAAGCAGATGAGTTTCACAAACAGAAATGTATTGTCTCACAGTTTTGAAGGCTGAAATCAGAACATCCACTCTGGAGAAGGGTCCTTGTCTCCTTTCATCACCTGTAGGTTCAGTATTCCCTGGAGATTTCCATGTGTCTTAGCATCAATCATTCCCTGGATCTAGGAGCTTCACAGTACAGGGGCACGCTCCACTCCTGACTCTCCTTCTTAGTGGTAGGAGGTCCCTCTTTCTCTGCTCACATCTGTCTCATTTTGTCTCTTGTAAAGACAAAAGGTGTGGCATGCCATACCCTTGGGAATCTCTTGTACATTGAATCAGGGTCTTCATGGGTATGGTGCTAAGGGTTAATGCACTAGAATGCAAGGTCTATTTGAACCACAAGGTCCTTGGTTCAAACTCACCAGCCGCACCTTGGAAACCCTATGCAAAGGTCACTGTGGGTCGGAACTGACTCAACAGCACTTAACAACAACATCCTACCTTTAGAGTCCTGGTGTGGCACTCAAATCTATGCATTGGAACCAACCTGATGACACCTAACAATAACACCAAGAACAAATGTATGAGTATAGATCAATGTTACAATCACTAAAGCAATACTGAGCAGTATCCGCTCCCTATTGAACTTAGACTTTCTGCCCTCCCGCCATCTTTCCTTCTTCCCTCCCTGCATCTGTTGAGCACGTTCTACTGGAACTTCTTTCACTTAAATCTGCACAGCTCAGGGCTGCAGCTTAAGCAGCAGAGCTAGGACTGAAATGTGACTACTCAGAGCTGGAAAACAATATTGTCTGTTGGAGTTTAAAGTCTCACTAATGCTGGTTGCTAGATTTTTAATTCACTGTTGATCTCATAGAAAATGAGGAATGAGAGGGTGGGAAATCATGTTCTGTTGTTTCGGCTTATTTGTTGTGGATTTCAGGGTTGAATGAATCATATGCTTCAGTTCATGGCTCAGGATTATCCTCGGTCCACTCAAGGCCCCTCTTTTGCTTTATTTTATTTCTCCCCCATCAGTCTACTCCCATTTTCCTTCCTTCATTAGTTAGCAGTTCTGTTGTCAAGTGCCATCAAGTTGTTACCGACTCATAGTGACCCTATGCACAACGGAACAAAACACTGCCCAGTCCCGGGCCAACTTCACAATCATTGCTACACTTGAACCCATTGCTGCTGCCACTGTGCCAATCCATCTCGCTGGGGACCTTCCCTTTTTTCTTCAACCCTTCACTTTACCAAACATGATATCCTTCTCCAGTGACTGGTCCCTCCTGACAATATGTCCAAAGTATGAGAGATGAAGTCCAGCCATCCTGGCTTCCAAGGAGCACTCTGGCTGTACTTTTTCCAACACAATATGCAATACATTGTTTGATTTCTTTTCTGCTGCTTCTATGAGTGATGAGGGTTGATCTGAGCAAAATGAAGTACTTGACAACATCAGTATTTTCTCCATTAAGATACAAGTATGTCCATGGAAAATATAGTGTCTTGTATTTTTTTTTTTTTTTAAAGACAATGATTATCAAGATAGAAAATCCACTTGGCAGTGACTGCATTCCTGTTCTTAAACCTCCTTGTCTCTGCTTCACATCCTTTTATGTGCCTCGTAATGCAGGGCAGTGACCATTTGCCTGAGGATCATTGCCAACATCTTGGTACTCCTCTCACTGGCTGGGAGCATCTATCTCATCTACTTCGTGGTGGACCGGTCCCAGAAGCTGGAGCAGTCCAAGAAGGAGCTAACACTTTGGGAAAAAAATGAGGTACCCACTGCCTGCTACTCACATGCTGTTCTCTGGGGAGAGACACAAAGTGGCCTGCCCCTCCATTTCCATGGTGTTTCTTAAGATCCTTAACTAGAAATAAATCTAAGGAAACAATTTAGTTATCTCATCCAAGAGTATTGACCACAAGGGCTTTAATCCAAGATGTCAGCAACGCACCTTGGCTAAAGGATTTTACTTAGCTCTGTTGGGAAAGAATTTGGTTCAAAAGCCACCTTCGAGTATTCTTTGTTGACAGTAGTTTGCTTTTTTAACTTTCTGTTTCTTCACCAACACATTTCCAGAACCTGACCTCACCTGCAGATGTACCATTGCTCACAACTGCATTGGATTCCATTGTATGTTATCACAGTTGACCATTTGCTGACTGTTGAACATTTGCATGGATTCCCATATTTCTAGATTACAAATTAAGCTTCCAGGACCAAGTTCACATACATGGCTTACATTAAAAAAAAAAAAAAAAAAATTTCCCATGTATGAATTTCCTCACAAATAAAAAATTACCAAGTAGAAGCTTATGAATAAATTTAGAATTCTTAGTATGTAGTGCAAGACTGTTGTCCTTAAATGTTGGTTAATCACTGTGGACTCATGGAAGGCGAGGAACTGGGTGCTAGTAGCCAGGAGGCAGGCTTGCAGAGTGTGCCCTTTGCTTGTTTGGATTATTGTATATTCCAGAGTGCTTTTGTCTAAATCTCCCCACCGCAACCCCCCTCAAAAAATTAAAAAAAAAAAAAAATAAAGGTAATGGAGGCAAATGCTGTTGAATGATGATATGATGATGCACAGAGGAGATCGTGGTCATTGCAATGAAACGAGGGTGTAGTAGAATCTATCCCTCAGTTCACACACAAACACAAAATAATAAAAATGGTTCTCAATCTACCTGTAAAGGTTGAAAAGAAACAGCACAAATGCTATCCCTTAGACAATTTCTCTTAAACTAATGATCATCCTTTGGGATTTAAAAAATAGAGTGTCCATATGAAATAGTATTTATCAACTTATCCTCAATGTATCATATTTTGGAACCAAAGACAAGAGTGGATCATCTATTCCTTTTTCCTATACTTTTTTTTTTTTTTTTTTACAGCAATTAAGTTGGTTTTATAACTGTGTACTTGTGTCTTTATAGATCGATGCATGATTTTTTAAAAAGATATGCCAAGAGTTTGTTTCCTGTTTTAGCTCAAGCCTCTTGTTTGCTAGACAAAACTCTGACCTTCATTTTCCATAACTACAGAGAAACGATAGCCAGGGACAATTCTCCAGACAATCCATCTTCCGTATACATTGTTGTTGTTGTTGTTGTGTGCCGTCGAGTCGGTTCCGACCCATAGCGACCCTGTACAGGGTTTC